CGCATTTTTTCAGAAATGTTTTGTTTTTTTGGCTCCAGAGTTCATGCCATTTATTCAAATAGTATACTGTAGAGAAATGATTTTGCGGAATTTTCCCTTTGTTTGATGAATTCGCAAAGAAAATGAGATGCAAAGGAAATTTTACTATAAGATAATTATTGGAATCTGACGATTAAAAGAAATGGTTACTTTAAATTTCATTGAATAGGTGGACTAGTTTTAAAACTATTCTTTGAATGGAATAAAATTTAAATCAGCTTTGAACAGCGGAACAACAGTAGTAATAAACCTGAATTGATGCAGCCAAAGCCTTTCTCTGGTCGTCAGAGAGGCCCTTCTTGTACTTCTGAGCAGCTTCCAGCGGACTTTCGGGTACATCAACAAGAAAAAATGCCTGAAATGATGTTCGCACAGATACAAAAAAAAAAAAATCTTTTGTGGTAGTTAGAAGAAAAAAAGATATTTCAAGCAAACTTCAAGAAATTGCTGATTGGAGTGAAAAAGGTTCACTGCGATAAAAAGTTTCGCTAAGTTTTGATTACTTACCAAAACTTGAATTGGGAACAGAAAGTAATACTTTTCACTTCGAGCTTCCTGAAAATGGATGATTTTGGTAATGAGTATGATCATATTTCATTTTAAATTACCTCTCCATACTATTCTGCTGAATTGGGACAAATATGATTATTCGTCAAAGACTACTTCAAAATATCTCACAGAGATTCTCACTAAACGGAAAAGAAAGAAAATCATTATAATTTTTTTTCTCATTTTCAAATATACGTCGGAGCAGTAATGCTAATTTGGAATTAATTAATGAATGATATGGAAGCAAATAGTGCACTCTATAAGTGTGAGAACGATAGAGATAACTAATTGAAAAGGACGACAAAATTGTTTGGATTCTCAGTCAAGTTATCATCTTTAAATAGTAAGCTCGTAATTCTTCTATTTTTTTTGCAAAAATGATGGGCCAACAATAAGATTTCATTATCATTTTAGACGTTTTTCTGCAATTCAAATTTAAAAAAGTTATACCGCTTCATGTAGCATCCCGTTGAAAAGGAAGTAGCACTGAAGGAATAAATGACTGTCAGTAATTTCGCCTGAAATATATATTTAAAGTTAAGAATACATATATGCATTTATGTTATTAGTAAGTTAGCTGTCCACGAAAAGTTCGCTAGTCTTCCGACTACCATCTCAGGGTAAACACAACTCTAACTTTAAACCTGGGCAGATGGAGTTCGTTTAGCCTTGTAAAGCCACCCATTTGAGAAAAACATATTCTAATAAAGCCTACAACTGAGGATTTCAGTCATCATCTTAGCTGGATAACCCCTGGTAAATATCCTTAGGAGTAAAGAGAGAGCCAGTTCGCGCATGCCATACCTTACCTAAAAAATCCATTGCGCAGGCTGGAAGGATTCATCTATATTTGTGGGATTAGCAGCAAGCGTGGGTGGGGCCCTTCCCAAATCTTCGTTTGCGAAGTCCGGCCATGATGATGAATAAGTCAATTATATTAAGGATACGTGAGAAAATTACAAGATAATAATCATAAAAAAGTAACTGTTTTAAATTAAAACAACGATGAGTTTGAAATTATTTGATTTTCAAGTATAACTTAAAAAAGTATTGAAAATTAACGGCAGAATTGAGAAGGAGATAACATACGTTTGAAGCAAGAAGGACACAGTGGAGTCATATCGAAATTCCTAGCTGATGTAGTGCACCAAAGACTACACTTATTGCAGATTAACGCAAAAAATATCTTCATCTTTGCGTTGTATGAAAAACTAACTTGCCAACTGAAATACTGATCTGGCAGTAATGTCAATAACAAAAAAAAAAAAAGAAAGAAAAAAAAGAAGAAAGAGAACAAAAATAACCAATTATTCTTTTTATAGTTTTGATATTATTAAAATTGCACAATTCCTAGCCTCCCTTTGGTGCATTAGGTTAGGTATTAATTAAATCTGTGGAATGATAAATAATAAGGATATTATTCGCAACTGTATAGCAGAACATTATAATATAGCACTAAGCATCTAAATGAATGTCGACAAAAGGGTAGGAAACGCATCAATTTAATATTTCGGAAAACAGCATAAGAATAGATAAATGAGCAAGTCTACGACAAAAGGTTGCAAATGATTACTCAATATAATACACCATACAGTACTATCACAAGTAAACGATGAATGTAATCATATAAGGACTTTTCAAAACATCCTAACTGAATTATTCCGTTAAGTCCACTCCGCTAATTTGATTAACAGTATGATACAAAAAGACACACTAGAAATATCTTCTAGTCAATTCGGAAGAAAAACCAAACAAACCAAACCTTGAAAATTTTAGAACTGTTCCAGGCAATAAGTTGCACAATAAACTCCATGCACTATCATCTTTCAGGCTTTTATCTTTTCTCATTTTGGAAGCTTTCACATGTTCAGACTTGTCATCCGATTGCTCATCATCTTCAGGTATTTCATGAGCAGGCTACAATAGATAAAAGTTGAGAAATATTGGTCATTAGGTATAAAGCGCATAAAAGAGATGCCATAATTAGATTAAAAAAAGAACTAATCAATTAGATAGAATGTTACTGTAACAGTATGGAAGTTATATGGATAGAAATGCGCGAAAAAGACTAGTGTACATCTGGACAAAAAGTGAGTTCCCCGTATCATATAATTTCAAAATATAATTTCAAGTGTAAGATAGCTTCAAGTGTAAATGAGAAATATTTCCGAAATGAATTATATAAATTCAGCATGGAATTACATAAATCACTCACGCTTCTTAGTTTCAAAGTTACTTCATCGCCGTATGCTCCTTCCATGTACGTCAACAAAAAATTTGCAAGTATGGTATTCCGTTGTCGACGTGATAGCTTTGCAAAATTTGCAAATAGATCTTCAAAACATTTCAATTAATTATTCAATTTCTTCGCCTGGAAGATCAGGCATACTTCTTCAATGCAATTACATAACATCAACGCGTGTGATTTCAATATGAAGTTTGGACTACCGAAAGTTTAAATCAGTAGGTATAATTACAAACGATTTAGTAATTAATAATTCGATCTAAGATTGTTACATAGCCACGTCGGGAATTAAATGTGCCACAACCGAAAGGTCTAGTAGTTTCCCATAATTCAGTAACTTACCATTTCAATGAATAAATTAAATTCAAGACAGAAATGATATATATTTTTATAATGAAGCTCAATTATTTCAATCAGTCAATGCGGATATACACCATACTATTCGGTCACCAACTTTAATCGTTGAGGTGGCAATAATATCGCTCAAGGCTTACTTCACCTACATTCCAATATAACGAAAGACTGCTAGTTTGTATTCGTGCAGAAATGAAGAAAAACTTCTATCACTAAAGGGGGAAAAAGAATAACTTACCTTTATTATAGGCAAAGAGACGTTCAAGAGTATGTCGGACAATGAATTGCACTGCCATTCTTGCGAGATTGAATGATCGTTGAAGTTGCGCATCTGCGTGTTGTTTTTTCTTCCAGACATAGGCATAAATCCATGCCAGTTGTACGGCGTGAATTTGTCGCATCCGTTCTCTAGCCCAACATTTCCACAGTTCTATCTGTTGATTCTCCAAGCCATTCATTTCATCAAATGATTGCGTCGTAGTGATTTGCTAGAAATCATTATTTTCAAATCATTAATTGCAACAGTAATAATAAAAAAGGAATTTACGCCACTTTTCCCAAATGAACTGGATAATTAGTCCTGAACTTTCCAACGAAATGAACAAGCTTTAATTCCCCGTACTTCCTCCCTCCAGAAACATCATCAATTTGTCGCGATTTCGAATATCATTTAAAAAATCTGGTCAGTGCGTTCGTTGATTAAATTACCCATCACCATCCATTAACTTATCCGTTTATTCTTTCATTATCTAAGATAACGGATAATAAAAGGTTAACACTTTTACAAGCAAAAAAAGTCTGGTATTATTAATTGGATAATTGTTAAATGTGTCATCATTGAAATATTTTTTTAAATTGCAAAATTGAAAGCTAACCTTATAATAATTTGACAACTCCAAAAATTAGTTGAAAAATGCGTTTAAATTAATGAATTTATAAGGTGTAAAAATAAACCTACAAAGAATGAGCTACCTGCATGCTAGTCGTATATGGATGTTGTTGCACATCTTCGACAGTTCCTTTATCTTCAACGTTAGTTTGCATATTGGATCCATCTAATTTAGCATTGAATTCATCAATATTACTAAAAATCGAAATTTAAAAAAATGTTTGCAAACAACCCTAATTTTATCAACAGAAATCTTGAAATGATAGAAAGGTTTCAACACATTACATCTACAAAATAAATTTCCTAGTTAGAAAACAGGTAATTAACTAACCGCAAAAGGTCGAGTTTCAATTTGTTGTTATCATCAAGAATAATGATTGACCTATTGTAACGTCGACCACCGTGCATTGCAAAAGCAGCACCATTCAGTGAGTGATATAAATGAATGTTAATAAGTAGCAGTATATCGCCACACTGTGAAACATTTCGATTTCAATTATTTCATACGTAGATTTCATATGTAAGAATAAAAAAGTATTTTGTCTAAATTTTAATTTCTATGATGAGAACTGGACAAAAATTGTCACCACAAAAATACTGTAAGTATAACATTAATAATTACTATTCATAAACGAAATTTTTTCACCACAAATTTAAGAACAAAACATTTTTTAATTGCTTAGCTAAGAGCAAATTAAAAGCTTTGTAACTCAAGTTAGTCAACTGTAATGAAGAATGTGTCAACTAATAATTTATCATAAAGTAATTCCACTATTTCTTCACATTTATTTGTTTAAATCTAGTATAAGTAAATATTTTAAATTGTTACTTTCACATTATTTCGAGCAAAATCACCATGCTCTTCGTATAACACTATATCACACCAATAGTTTACTGCTGTCATTTCCATCTTTCCATCTCGATATATTACTTTGTTAATGAATTCAGGATTAAGCACAAATATTTTCCTTCAATCATTTTGATTATAACAACTTCACTAAGGGTAGCAGTATATGTGCAGTGTAACTGAACAATGTATAACATGAAATAGACAAATTCTTCATAATTTCAATTGATGACATTTAATTGATGACTTAATAATTTGATGATGGAATAACTTTCAATTGAATAATTTCAAGAAATGGAATATCCGGGTGATTCTTTACAGCAAAAAATTAGTGCATGTTGTGTGAACTATTATGCTATTAGTAAACGTTATGTATCTAATATTTAGACAGTTTTCATATTTTTATGCAAGATATGTGTTCAACGAAAATACCTCGGTGGCGAAGTGGTATCCCAACAACGCAATATCACATTGTTCCGATCATCAATAAATAGAGCTATTGCCTAAAAATACAAATAAATTGTCGTTGGATATGTTGAGTTTATAATTCTGATAAAAGAAAAGATGGGAAAAAAATAATTCAATATTTCTTTTCGCCTTTCTTCATCCCTTTTTCCAAATGAACAACATCCAAATGTCATTTTTAAGCATTAAAACAATCAGCAAAAATTACTTGTACAGTAATATCATTGTAACCACCGAGAAAAAATTCATTCAAGCGATGAACATGTGCATTTCTAATTATTTCATTTATTTTTTCCTCATCGAAATATGCTACGTTTGGGTTTATCGGTGTAGTAGTAATGTGTTGACCATCTGAAATTCTGCTATCATCCGATGGACCTTCCAACTGCTGATTGCTTATGCGTAATGAATTTATCTGAAACAAACTCTTCTGAAAACATAATTCTTTCGCTTTTTCTACTCTTCTGTGCTGCTATTTTTAACCGTAAATGATCTGACTGATGGATTTTATATCTAATTCAAGATATTATTCAAATTTATAACTTTGATTTCATAGATCAATTCAAAACGATCTCAAACTTTACAGCATTTTAAAATTACTAAACCAACCCTATCTTCGTAATCTGATGCTATAGTAAACTTTGCTGATGACTGGTATATGGGGGTAAAACTATCGCCAAGTCGACCACTAAACAGAAGAACAGCAAAACCGACCGTTTTAAGCTTCCCATAAATGAACAATTCTCCATTTGTCATTTTTCTGATCTGAATAAAAAGCTTTTGATCTGAAAGCTTCTGAATAAAAAAAGCTTTTGATCTCAAAAACAAGCATCGATAAAAAGATTTTGATATAACAAGCAGTGACAGTGACAAAATCCTCCAATGACAGCTGGTTCATATCAAAAATGTCACCAAGACCATTCATTTAGTGCAACATATCTGTCTACAATGGCATAAATATGGAGAAATGGTCAATTTCGAGATATTACTGGACAACGATATCAGTTATCAGATTATTAATTCAGAAATATTGAC